GGCTGATTCCCGGTATCGCTTAAAAACGATGACAAGCGCCATTGCAGCGTTTCATTTCATAACAGATATACCGTGCGTTCGCTCCACTGACCAATCCCGTGGGCATGATGCGTTGATAGGGCTGCTGGACTGCTAATGGGGGTCGCGATCCCACAGTCCGCTATAAATGATAATGCCGACCGTCGAAGTAGCAGCAATCGAATAGACAGATTGACTTGGATTAACCGTGGAATACGACGGTGTTGGTGATTTGGGTTCAGAGTTAATGTCATAAGAGGTTAGTGGGTGGTAACCCCAATTTACGGAGCTAGGAAAAGCTAGATATAGTAAACAGCAATGAACCGAATTTGCGAACCGCTGGTACGTAACGTATGTTTTCGAGCAGATTCTGATAGCCGGAGTATACGAAAGGGAAGGCATAGTTTGAACAGAGAGAAAGGATTAGAATTTGTGTTTTACGGTTCTAGGTCTGTTGAAATCAAAATAAATTTCTGTGTTTTATGATTGATAGTGTTTCAACATCGAGAATACAGTTCCTATTTCAGGTCGCGCAGAAACGTCAAAGCAAAAACGAATTTTCGTACAAATTGAGCTTTGGTCCATAATTTCACATTGATTATATTACACCTGTGTTGTACAAAGAACGAAGCATTCATGGCAGGTACGTTCATGTGTGATGGCTTAGTTAGCAATGGGACTCAATAGCTTTCAATTTGTCGGGTTAAAGGATTTGCACTATGACGCAGCGGACATTGTTTTGTCAAACACGCTTTTGATACAGCATTGGTATCACCATGCCCTAAGGGCGGCGGAAGAGGGGGCACGACGAAAAACACGCCAGTTGATCTTACTGACCTGGCGTCACTCACGTATTACTATGAAAAGAAAAGGATTTTCATAGGTAGGAAGCTAGTATCAGACGACTAATGCATACATGTAGAGAGATTTAATGAGATTCAGCAAGGAGTGCTTATTCCCCCTGGGTGTCGGATCAACGGTGCTACTGCAACGTCAGAGGTAAAAAAGAACCTCTTTCTTATTGACTTCAAAGACGTCACCCTAATCTACTATATTGAATTTGCGTTCCTCGACACACATAGATGAGAGCAATTGTTGTCGAGGAATTGTTGTAGAAAGACAACGTTCTATGTGTTGTAAATCACTCGTTGCACACGTTCCGGCCATCGTACATTGTCTACGCCGATTCCATAGATATGTTTATTAGTAAATGTATTTTGAATCGTTCATTTTAAAGTCTGCTCAAATATTAGTAAGGCGGATCTGCAATATACCGACTCGGGCGTTATGATGCTAAGCGATAGCACTAGCTAGTTTAGCATACAACAAACGAAGCTCTTTTTTTCGGCATAAACCAAGCCACCTTTGTGTGATTTCTCGTATCCAACAAAATCTAATAGAACGTTAATTATTTGTGAAAGTTAATTGTTTGGGCATACGCTGAACGAACTGGTTGGTATAACATACTGAAACCCCACCAACAAACTATCTCCGAAGGTGACTCTAGTTGACGTCATCTAGCTTTGACAAATTCTGTCATCCGTTCTTCCGCCAACGTTGAACAGTCTCACTTCCTACTTCACTTTCTTATCTGTAATGTTTCCTGTTATATCAATTACGTTTGCTAGTTATTTTTCTCACACGCGTATAGGCGCAGACGCGCAAGTTTCACTAAATACTTAAGATGACATGAGAGCACACGGCCTCATCGCTGCTGAAGAATCTCATAATTGCTCGTGAAACTTCACAGTGAGCCATACCGATGATAGCGAAAAAAAAAAGGTCGCGTAATAGTAGGAACAGTTTAAGTTGTAGCAAAAATTTGTTATGTCTTGGATAGAGGAATTGGAATAGGATTGCTTATTCGTTGGTCGCTTGTCAGTGTCGAAATTACGATAAATTCTCAGATTTATAAAGTCGAGCCAAAATTCCCACTAACCACTGGGAGATATTATACAATGGCAATAATAAAAATCGTAAGGGTGAGCGGGGTGCATTATGCAATAGCAATGGCTGATATCTGCTAAAAATTGTTGGCATTTGCTTTGGTAAGCCACCGCGTCCCACTGAAACGATGGCCAACGTTGTCGGCGCTGGCGTCGTACCGCAAATAGGCGTAGGTTGCGAAGCATCCGTTGCATTCGGGGTTGCAGCCGATAACACTTTGGCAGAGAGTCGCTCGCTCTGTTATTCGGTGTATGTCGGGAGACTTCTTTATTGTTGACGCGTATCTGGCTGACTGATCAGCCGCCCGACTGCGGAACATCTTGCTGGGTTCCTTATAAAATGTTCCGGTTATGGCCATAGAAAAAGCGAAGTGTTAATCTACGCGCACTTGTCATATCAATGCCAATATTTAATTCAGTCGTTTAATTTTCGGGTGGCCTCCTGTGAAAACACTGGCTGGACTGGTTTGGGTGCGCAGGACAAATTAATCTATTCTATAGGAATAGTCAAAATATTACATCGAAATAGTTACTCTATGACTTTTTCCGTGTGGCGTTTGATAGAAGTCAATTGTTCCTGTGGTAGCTTCGATAGTGATGTGTCTACGTGCTAAACAACAGGGCATGTAGTGGTCTAAATGAGATTTATTAGATACAAGTTACCTAGGATGCTGGCACATTAGTTAGCTAGCTGAATTGGTGGGTATTTGTTCTTTTTTTTCTTTTGTTTTTACGAGGAATGTACAGATTCTAGATCACCGCGAAAAGAAGCACAAAATTACAGTCCAGCTTGGGACCGGCATGATTTCGCTCTGCCTTGTCCTACGTCCCTTCGATAGCCCACACAGGTAAACCATGTATGTTTTACACCTCTATCAAAAACAAAGTTCGTTTGCTATTCAGTGGTAATTCATTTGTACAAACACAGTTTATCGGCGAGTCGAACTGACATGAAAAACAGAAAAAAAACTTAATTAATTATCTCATAGCTTTAATGGACAATTCGTTTCCGTTCGAGACTTAAGTCTGTCTTTCCGAGCAGCGAGTAATCTTTAATAAATAATGTAATGGGCACGAGCTCCAAATAAATTAATGATAGATATTTAGGTTGCGATCTCGTGTTGCAGGTCGTCCGAGAAAAAATTCCAATCATCATTAATTATAGCTGATCTAATTATAGATTATTATTAACTTCAGACGTTTAGTTCAAGTGGCTGAGTGTGTACATGTTCCACGGCTTATCAGGTCGGTTAGGTAATCCTCATTTCGTCTAATGGCTGAATCATCAAAATGGGCTCCATTCATTTTTCGGGCGTCGTCCTGCGGTAATTTATCTTCATAAAAAAAAAAAAAAAGAAAAAGAAAATTAACAATTGTTTGCCGATCTCGACGTTTTTATGTTGTTTCTCCTCGATAAAAGGATAGTTTATATTTAGTTAAGTAAACGGTCCATCATTGTTCGTCGCGTACACACACAGGTCCTTTTCATTCACTTTGTAACTTTTATTTTTTTATGTTTTGGCCCTTTGTTAGAAGTTAGTGAGAATAGTTTGGGTTAGCTTTTCTAAAAAACTGTATATCGTCATCAACTACAATGACGTATTATATAGTCATACCTGTTCTACCGTTAAAGGAGTAGAAAGGGTAAGATCACTGTAGGTGGCATTGTTTTTTTTGCCAGACGGACTCACTCTAAGGAACTAATTCCTAGATTGGATCCATAAGAATCGTAGCTAGCTAAACATAATAATAGCGTTGAGGAAGTGGCCTCAATTTGAGAGGACACGACATTAACACAGCTGACAAATGATTGCGGTGATCCGTCTACGAACGGCCGCGGTTCGGCGTTATTTACTTTTACGTCGAGTTCGCGCAATAGCGCAACGGGCGAATCAGTTGGTGCTGGACTAGACCATGAACGCCTCAAAGAGACCTTAACAGGCCCAAGCCTGTACTGGCAAACTTCATCGCTGGCTTTTTGAGTTTTAGCGAGTCAGATCATTTTGATATAGCCCGTCAATGTCGAAGTAACACAATGTGGATGATTTTGCTACACAGAAAAGGGAATGTGTTTGCTCGTATGATATCGTGTGAAGTGAGGGTATTATTTGTTGAAGTGTAACTTCACTTACTTCAAAAACAATATTAATATACTGAAATGTTTTAAAGGTCTGGAAACAACGATTGGCTTGCCAGCTGCGTCCCCCGAAAATAGATCTGTTTCTCATTCGTATCGATGAATGCTCATCGATCTGGTGAGTTCCACTATATAATTCATTCGCATACAAACATCGTGGCGTTCATTTAGTAACCCATAGGAGTGTGCGCTCTCGCATGCTGATTCTTCAAGCAGAAATCTTCGACTGACCGCTCATGGTTAGCTTCCAAGCAGTTCCAGTCAAGAGCTATGTCTTTCATTAAAAACTCCCTTTGTTAGACAACTTCTAAATTTAACTGAAAAACTCGGGCAGCGTGTTATCTTGTTTTTTCTGCACGGAATATTCTCAAGGAAGATATTTCCTCGATTTTATTAGCAAGCAGCTCTTCTGAAGTTTATCTCCCAGTAAAAACAATGCACTAAACCGGTTTTTCATCAGGGGTTGAAGTCCGTCATCGACAGATGGCACAGCGACATGCATGAATCGAGTCAGCCATACACAGGCGACAACAAATCGGATATCTCTTTGCTGAACGTCTTGTTGCAACGCACGGAGGCTGTCCAGCTGTAACGGTGGCAGCGGCAAAAACAAAAACGACGACGACAAAAACAGCAGTATCGGTAGTGGCTACGTTCTGTCGCGTGTGGGGAACGCTTATTCTGTTTATACGTCCGAGAGTCTCATCAATGGCAAGGGCGTATTCACCCTCAACCGAAACGGAGCGGAGTAAGACGAAGCTTTGTTCTTCAGCATAACGCAAAGATCGGAAAGGGATGTGATCGCGCTGCTTCGTCCAGTAAGATTAGTCAACGAACCACGGTGCGAGGGGCAACAATAGGACGGGGCGACGGGCAGCGTTGCGAGAAGAACTGTGGACCGAAAAGCCGGCGAAGCAACGTTGTCTGAGGGGGCTAAAGTGTTTACTGTTTTGCCCAAGGCCTGTTCGCGCATGCGGGTCCATCATTCCTGCAGATTTTACTTTATTTCAACTCGTGTCTTGGTTTCGGCTAACACTACAACAGCGACTGTTGTCGCTTATATGAGCTTAACTAAGCTCTGAGCCATTACAGCTGGTGGCTACTACACAAGGCCTCGTACCTATCAGTCTGTTGTACTCAGTGGCCGCGTTGTCAGTGCTGGTGATACAGAACCCGGGGACGTGGCCAACGCAGCTCGTAATCTGGGAATCCTCGTGTGAAGCCAGCGACGGTCGTTAGATTATGGTGAAACGCGTGTGTGCGATGTTCATTGTACATCTAATTCATTACTGAGTTTTGAACATATTTGATGCTGTTATCGGAGTGGTGAAGTGTACAAATCGGTGTTTATGTCATTTTGAAGCCCTGTCGCGCGTCCGTCTGCAAAAGGTGATAACTTCATGTATGTCGCGACCAAAAATTAATCGTTGATCGATCGGAAAGTCTTTAAACGTTCAGTGTTACCTATCCACCACAACATCCTAGAATAGCATGCAATCATCGATCCATTTGCTTATAGCCTAGATTGTCTTCGTATTCGGTGGATTCAAAATATCTTCATCATCACAATCTGTACAACGTTACTCGTAAAAGAGCTCATTAGCCCTCTGCCCTTCAAAGTGAATTATTCTGCGTTGTTACAATTGATATCAGATCTTCAGAACGAATACGATCTTCAATCGAACGGATTACGATCTACTCAATAGTTCTTTGGAAAGGCGTCGCTTAGATAGGCCGAGTCACAAGCCAACGCTGTAAGTTCTAACCAGTCTGCAGTTCTGTAACAAATGATTGATAATGACAATAACAGCCTCAAATGAATATCACCGTTTGTCAAAATTTTGCTGAAGTCTTCATGGGTTACGTAATCGTTACGTGAAGAAGTTTCGGAAAAATTATCTTTCGGACAATGTGTCATGAGAGATCGTTTTTTCTCTTTGCTATCACACGACGCGTCTGCTAATATGCATAAAAGTCTACTCAGAAACGATCTGTGAGAGTACAATAGGTGTAATCTTACCGGTACCACAAGATCTAAAAGAGAAGTTATAGTGATAACAATCACGATAACCAGGCGGTGTTTCATTGTTTTTTTTTTTCGCGAACATGCATTTGTGCATAATGACTACTAAGAGCCCTAAATAAATCGACTAAAAACAGCGTCTACGGGGTTATGAACGTAGATACAGGAAGCCGAAATCGTGGCGCCAATAGCAGCACAGAGTCGAGATAACGGTTTCAGGCCACGCCAAGGTCGTCGTTAAATGACTGCCTGGGTGAACCGAATAGCCGATATTGCTACGATAGTAATTCCTGTTTTTGTTCGTCGAACTTTTAGCTTTTTTCGACTCTAATTAATTGTAGATACATGAACAGTAATATAAAAAAATAGACAATAAATTTAATCGGATTATCTGAAACGGATTGGCTCTTTTTCCTACGAATGAGAAAGTGATGGTCAACAACTGTGCGCCTACTTAAAATCGAGCCAATTAAATTAGATATGCAAATACTAAATATATATATATATATATTTATTGACAAATTGGTTTTATTGTTAAACGGCTAGAGCCAGGTAGCCACAGGCCGACTGACTCTATTCTACTCTACGTGTTCCGACTGGCGTTTTATCTGTGCAGTGCAAAATATTTATCTGTTACAGGTTAACTGGTGTTATAATGAAATCAGCCAGCCATACTTTTATCGTTTTTCGGTCTACGATTGCCAAAGAAAATTATTTTCATTAACACATCTATGTCATTATATAGATAGAACAAGTTTAAGGTTCTGTAGTTTCAAGTATGCCTGAACGATCGGCCTGCACGAAGAAATCAATTTTATAGAATAAGATAAAAGGCTTCCACAAAAACAGCATGTGTCATATCAGTGTTCTTTTAGTGATTTTTCAAATAAAAAAGCAACGTATCTGGTATAGGTTTTTTTTCCTTCTAATTTGCATAGAATCAAGCAACTTGAAAAACGAAGTTCTGCACGGGCGATCTACATAACCGCAGTTGTTAACAAAACACAAAAATGGACGGCTTCACATTGCACATCGAATTCGACAGTTTCGCCAGTCTAAATATAGCTATGCCTATTCGTATATATTTATGTCTGATCCCTCGCGTTGTCTGCGTGTGATATGTTAATCTATCTACGTAATCAATCTTCTCACCTCGAATCTGACCTGCTGCTCCCCGTTCACTTCAGGCTTGTTGTGTATTCGATCACCGAGTCACTCCATCAAGCGTTGGCGATACCGAAAAGCACGGCGATGCGTGATTGCTACAGATATGAATTGCCTCTTTAAATGGATGCACATGTAGATCCCCCCAAAGCACATCTAAACGAACAAATTCACGCTATGTGATCTATAGCAGCAGCTGGGCCAACAACAGCGGGAACGAGCTGGGTTGCCCCTATTTAGAATAGCATATTATTATAGCAATTATGAAAAGGAGAAAGCACACGTACCCACTATTCAATAATGCTGCTTGTTTCATCGCAAATACCCTTGCAGTCGGTTGGTTTTTAGCTAATTTGTCAAACTACAAATCAAGAAAACATATTTCCGCAAACTTCTACATTGATTAATGCGTCTATGGTGGCGTCTGTACTTATTGTCTGTTTGCCGCTCATCACTGACGGCAACCAGGGTATATATTGTTCAATGTCCGACCTGTGAACTCATAGAGTAACTATGTTGAGACGAGGTTTGAAGTCGGATCGATTGAAGGCAGTGTTTTTCAGTACTACGCCATATTCTATTTACGGTTCAGCTAAGTAAACAGATCAGGATATAATTACAGTGAACTAGAGGGTGCTGCCGAGCAAAGTCGAGCACATTTTCCCTACTAGGAAAAGCGCGGCTAAGACAACAAATACGGGATTGCTTTGAATAAACATTTCAGAATCGTCACCATCATCATCGCGCCCGTCCTCAGCCGCAACACGATTACACCTTGACAAGTCTTGGCGCACATACATGCATATGTATAGTCTTATTACATAGCAAACATGTGTCTCTTTGTTTGGGTGTTCTCCATAGCGCCCCCCCTCCCCCTGTTACATTAGCGATAAAACAAATATGTTACAAGGCTGTTCATCATCGAGGGCATGAGCGTATGTACTGTTGACGCTAGTGAAGCAGCAATTCCCGCCACAGAATGCGGCCTGAGGCTTGCGCTTCTGCTTTGCCGGAAAGCTCAGTCCGACTCAGTCGGTGACCGTTGTCCAGCTGACGTGATCCACGACGCATCGCTTATGTTAGATACAAAACAAAATTGAAACCCGCTGGCGATTAACTAAATACGTGCGCTGCCACGTATGTATGCTTATAGTATGGATAGCACCGTAATTGCGTACCGTGTCTTACAACGATGGCAACTCGTCCCAACTAACCAAAGCCACCAGGGGTCACCGGCGTCGTTGACGTTGTTCTCATCGTCAGCTCTCTCCGTTAGCGTTTCCACCGAAGCTAAGCGTCGGGTAGCAGCGTGCCTTTTAACAGAGGGCATGTCACCACAAACAGGCCGTACGAAGTACCGCTCTATGTGAGAAGCCACCAGAACAGCTGTTGCTGCGAAAGCCTGCAGTTGTTAGCTCACTGGCCAATGCTTTTACGACTATTGATCATCGTTTCGTTCATGGTACCGAAACTTACCCGTTTCACTGCCAAATCATTGCAATATCGCCGCCACCACCATTACGATCACTGATGAGAAAAAATCTTGTCCATCAATTACCTAGTGGCACAGCTGCTTCCACTGCTGTCGTTGTGATGACTACTGAGATTTACGTTTCTGCTGCTGCCGCCTCCACCGCAGTGATTGTCGCTGACGTAAAGGAGTATGCTGTGACTGCATCAGTGTTTTTAACAAGCCTTTAACGTGGGCGTCCGGTCGTGATCACGGTAACTGGCAAAGGAACTTGCCGAAGCAATGCTCGAATAGGGACAGAAATCTGATTGGATGTGCTTGGCATGTGGGCGGATCTTGTTTTGAGGAACCTTCGCTATAGGAAAAACGGTAACAAAACAAACTGACAACCGTTACAACAATGATACGGTTATAGAAAGGGACGGGCAAAGGGGCCAGCTGAAAAACGGGTAGGGCATTGCCAAGGGGCGCGGCAACAGCGGCACACTATTCACTATAGATAATTTGTTTGTGCCGTTATACGAAATAGGACACAGAAGCGTACATGACAATGAGACAAATACGTGCTTAGAATAGATGGTTCGCTGCAAAAATCAGACGACCACGAATGAAATAGTTCATTGGAGACTTTGTTAACAGCGAGCGACTCAGATCGCAAACGACAATAACCTGTGTATGATTGTCCGGGACTAGACCCATTTACTCCGAGTAAGGTGCTCGACGGTTTCAGCAAGTCAGTATAATGTTAATCTACGTACTGGCTCCTATTTAACACTGAACTAACCGGAAGTAGCAGCTTGAATAAAAAGCGTGGCCATTTCATGTCAACGTTAACGAACGGAAACAGTAGAACAACACTCCAGATACGATGACTGCAGTCTCGAACGTTTCGTGAACGCCTGCTTCATGTGTTGCGTCCGATAGGCATCGGCTGCCCGACGCAGACCATAGTTACTTGAACCTTTAGAAAAATTTGCGCAGTAGTATATCCAGGCCTGTTTAAATCAACCTACTCTCCGCTGATCCTGTTGCTTAGAATACGTACGTTTGAAACCGATAGTTGATATGTAGTATGTATATAAGTATGATAGTCGATAGTTGTAAGCAAATAGAACTAAACATATAGCTTGTCGGTGCTATTGACAACGCAATACATAACAGATCGCTGACTGAACTGTAGGCGAACTTCGTAAAATTAATGCTCGATCGAACGTCTATAAGTGATAACTTTATATAGCGTTTTACCATTCGGATAGGATGCTTACATCTATACAGAGATATAATGCTGTCTCCTAATCACACGCCATTTACTATGCTCTACGCTGCCCTAAGACAAAACACGTAATCGAATGTGACCTTTAGCACGGAATCGTTGAAGGTTCGTTTTTTTTTTCATACTCACTAACAACTGTATTTACTTTAAAACAAGGTGGACTTTTTGACGAGGTACGATTTTTTTTTTCTTTTGTTACTATCTTGATGTAGCGTAACAGCTAAAAATAGACAACACAAAGGTGGTTATTTTGTTTTTTTCTTTTTTTATAAATATGATTATGTATTTTTGTTGATAATGACAACTGTATAAACTAGCGTTTTCTACTATACGCGTAGGCCGAGTAATCAAATCATATTTGGGTCTGCATTGCGCTTATAGTGACGCGAGCGAGACATTTGCTTATAGATTTGGGTTCGATTAATCTGGGGTTTAACTTTGTGAAAGTCCGATACGAGCGTTACACAGTGTTGACTTGCTCTTACTGAACTGTTTCTAAAGTCAAAAAGCAATAATATCCCTTAAATTTACTAGTACTATGCTCGTTTGTATCATCGTACAATTGATAAATAGGTCCCTGTAGCAATGACGAGTGTTGACAGCGCGGTGAAATTTCATGGGGACATTTGTAACGAGAACGACGGATACGTCCGTTTCCAGTGAGTTCAATTAGTTTTTGAATAGATCAAATTTTGTCACGCGTGGGTTTCGTATCAATGGGCGCCGACATAGGTTTTCAAATCTACAACGACGTACATCAGAACACTAACATATACGGACGATACAACTATAATCTGGGAAAGTAGCCTAGTCTTTGCTAAAA